TTACAAAATAATAATAATAATAATAATAATAATAATAATAATAATAATTAAAGGAGGCCTGTGCCCCTCCCCAAAACATTCTTCCTGCCCTATGCCTGTGTCTAGATGTCCTTGTATACCTTCAGGAGAATAAAAGCATGTACTTTTTAACATAGGGATGTGTGTGATATATGCATGTGTGTATATGAATATTTGCATATGTGTGGACACACCCTATACATATGTGTGCATATGCCTGTGGAGGTTTTAGAGGCCAGAGGTTGACAGCAAGTGTCTTCCTCAGTTGCTCTCTACCTTTTATGATGAGGCAGGGTCTCTCCCTGAACCTGAGCCTTCCTCTTTCCAGAAATCTGGCTAGCATGCTTGCCTGGGGGCTCCCTGTCTGCTGGGATTGCAAGTGGTTCAAGTGGGTGGTCATGCCTGCCCCACTTTCATGTGGAGATCCAGCCTCAGGTCATCATACTTGGGAAACAAGCGTTTTACCTGTTGAGTCATCTGCCCAAGCCCCAAATCATATCTTTTTCAACACATTTCACATTAAACACTGCTCTGAATCTCCCGATTCATATGTGCTTGAATATTCCTGAAACTGCTTCTAAAAATGAAAAAGACCGTTATCTGAGACTTTGATAAACATTTATTTAGCTACATTTAAAACAGCAACTCATTTTTATAAAAGTACTATAAAGTAATAGTACTTTCAAACTTCAGATTCTTCCTACAATAGAGTATGAAATTGTTTTTAAAAATTAAAATATTTTCTCCTTTCAATGACTGTCATTATAATTTTACTTTTTCAAGTTAAAACTTTGATATCAAGGTACATGAAAAGTATTTTAGTAATTCAAAATATATAATTTAAAGCATATATGAGGTGAAATCTGAAAATATGCAATGAAATAGTAATGATAATACATGAAATATTTCCTATTAAAAAACAAGGTATAAGGCTGGCAAAATGGCTTGACAGGTCAAGGCACTTGCTGCCAAGCCTGACCACCTGAGTTCGATTCCCAACACCCACATGATAAAAGCAGAGAACCAACTCCCACAAGTTGTCTTTGACCTCCACACACATACTGTGACATGTGTGTGCCCACACACATACAAACAAAAGCACATCAATAAATGTAATTTAAAAAATCTTAAAGTACAACAGCCTATAAAGCTCTAGGGCACCTAGCAATTTTGAAAATGTCTGGTCTTTTCCAGACCCATTTAAAAAAATTCAAAGTACTACTTTGCCACACTTATTTTCCTCTTGTACTTCACAAAACAATGAAGAACTTCTTCTCTTTATTTAATGATGCCCACTTTTCTCATTTTCATGAGACCCAAAAAGGTGATCTCTCAAACAGATCTGCTGGACTTCAAGCCAGGTGGCTTCTGTATGATATACTAGTGACCCTGGTACATCAAGAGAAAAGTAAAATATGTTCAGTATCTGTGTATAGCAAAGCATGATCTGCTTGGAAAAGATCTCTAACAGAACAGTTTTTAAATTTTTCCTCTTTTCCGAGTGAACCAATATGATGAGAGTTTTCTACATAGAACCCCTTGGTGTTCAGTAATGTTGAATAAATAAAGCCTTGACCATAAACAAACAGGCTCTGCTTTTAGAAAAATAAGCAGTACCTTAGGTTCCTTTCTATGCACTATAATGCTTGGCACTTTAATAAAGTCTAAAGAAAAAGAGACTTAACTCCATAAACAATTTGTTTATTATACTAAAACCTTACTCATTCTACTTTACTGTCATTCAAGGTAGGACCATTTTCCCTGGTGTTTTATCTTTGTACTATCTCAAAACAAACAGTTTGTCAAGCAATTTTCTTACACAGTATCACTTTAAAGCCTCTTGTCTTTCTCACTATTTGTATGTCCAGCAAAGTAAATTAACCCAAGAATCTGTCAGATCCCACCAGACAAAATGTCTGTTAACTCGAGTTTTAAAAGAGATTTATTACCACTATCTCCATCCCACACCATATCATTTCTTTTTTTCAGTCACTGTCTGTGTTCTCAGAAAGCCACTCCCAGTTCTTTCTAGAAGCAGGCAAGGTAGAAAAAATAATAATCATAGATCACTATTCCAAAACAAACTGGGCACCTCATGTTGCCGTGTTACATGAACAGTCTCCAGTCCAGATGAGAACTCTGTTATCTCCAGTGCTGGTTTTAGCAGTCTCTGCCAGTCATTATAATAAATGACTTGGTTAGTTGAAAGTCTTTTTTTGGGGGGGGGGGTCCTTTTGAGACAGGGTCTCCCTGTAGCCCCAGCTGTCCTGGAACTCGCTATGTAGACCAGGTGGGCTTTAGAACTCAGATCTGCCTGCCTCTGCCTTCCAAGTGCTGGGATTAAAGGCATGCGCCACCACACCCAGCTAGAAAGGCATTTTTAATGTTTGGTGGTATATAATAGGTAGCAGATGACTAAAAATTAGATTGATATGTCCAGTTTCTGAAAGAATTTGCTAAGGCAGAGACAGCAGAATATTGTGGAAAGAGCATTGGCTTTGGACATCCTGATAGGAGCTTAATCTGAGGGCTTCCAGGTCTTTAAGTGGACCTGCATATGTATATTAATCCCCCAAGAGATTGGGCTCCCAAAGTGAAAATATAAATTCCTACTCAAAATGAGTTTCAAGAATTAAATGAGATTATTGTAGGTCATCCAAGCAAATGAAAGAGGCCCAGTAAAGATTAGCCTTTTCCCCTGTTCTGCATTTAAAGCAATTTATTAACTAGACTCTACCATTATGGAATTGGTAATTATGGAATGAGGTAATTGATCTTAGTTATTGTTTATTACCTATGCCTAGAGATTTACCAATCAGGTTGAGGGTGAGAGACTCAAAGGGAACATATTCAATAAATGAACTAGTTTGTGACTCTTTCTAAACTTCATCACATAGCATACAAATTGCATATCTGAGCCTAAACTAGTATTGGCCGTTGATTCCAGGAAAGAGTTCTACCTGGAAGCATATTAAAAGTTTGTGGAGTGAAACCGAGTCTGTCTTCCCTCAATTATTTCTCAAACATGTCAACTCAGACTTCCTTTCTCTGTATTACAATCTGTAACCCTTGACCAATACTAAGTAGCAGAGATTTTTTTACAGTGTGTGAAATAAAGTTGGCCTCAATCATGGGTGTATTCCTGTTGTAACACTAAAGCTGTGACAGCACTGGAGCATGCTGTGTGCCTTGCATTACACTATGCAGAAAGTCACATTTCCGCTTTCCCTATGCCCCTTCGTGATGAAGTATGTTCTGTGAAGTAGTTAGAGGTGTTTTAAATATCCTTGTGCAACTTTCTTTCTGAATCATGAACTTTTTTTGTGGCACAGTGGTTAAGGATAAGACCTCAGCTTGCTGTGCTCCACTGCTTGTGACCAGATAGACACATGTGACCAGATAGACACTTGTGACGAGATAGACCAGATAGATCTTGGCATGGCATTAGGGAATTCTTG